TGTGTGTGTGTGTGTGTGTGTGTGTGTGTGTGTGTGTGTGTGTGTGTGTTAAAAGTATATGGTTTTATCTCTAGCATTTTCAATATAGTGTTATGGTGCCTGGGACCTACATTTAACTAGCACAGTACACACTGCTTCTTTAGACTGATATATGTTTTCTTGTAGAGAAATTCTTAGAGTGAATTGAACGGGGATTGATAACTCTTTATGGAAAGGACATCAGAAGGAATTATCTTATAGAAAATGCTGTAAGCACAAAAAATGGAATCTAGGCAAAGAGGAGATAGAATTAAAGCTGAAAGAGGTTTCCATGCAACCAAATGCCAAAGACCTGTAGGAGAAGTTTGAGGAAATGTCTATCTGGAATATTTTATTCTCTATTCTACTGATTTAAAAGCCATGGACAGAAAGGAGAATGACAGTGAGATTTCTTGATTACTGAGTAAAGAATGTTGCGATGACACCACAGGCATGACAAAAAGCACTCTGTGTGCCAGTTTTTCCAGCTCCAAATAAGTATCTCATCTTCCTCTTACTCACAGTAAAACACACTGAGGCCAAATGAAGTCTATCCCCAGTTAAATGCTACTAATTCAAACATAACTGCATTTGTGGGTTCCACCGTTACTTGGAAATTGGTTCTATTTCAAGAGTTGCCTGGGTATCGCTGCTCCTTTAGCTTAGGAAAATAGTTGCCCTCCTTAGCCTGATCCACCACAGCAGAGAAAGTTAGTAACCACCGTTTTTCTGTTCTCCCTGAAGGACTGTGCAACTCAACAATAGTCCATACGCTGATCCAGTAATTTTCCTTTGTATTCTATAGCTCTCCAGTCACCTTTACAGCATTAGATCATAGCCAGTCCTACTTCTTGAACAATAATTGCAAACCTCCGTCCAGTTTTCGTTATCCTGCTGAGAAAGATCAAGCAAAGTAGCTTCCAAGTGACTGTTTTTATTCTCTCACATAACCTGCAGGCCTGCAAGACTTCAGATAGGAGAGGGCCTGACGAGAGCTTTCAAATACCCTTTTTCTGATAGAAGGCAGGTGGGAAGAGCAGTGAACAAGGGTAGTACTAAGAGGTATAGTGCTGGATAAGCAAACATCTGGGCCCATCCAGGATCTGAGCAGGCAGTGACAACAGAAATCTTCTAACCCAAACTCCTGGTTTTACACTTGAAACTAACATGGTTTGGATAAGGTCTCTTTGAGTTTATTAGCAGTACCATATATCAAACAAATTTTAAACACAAGTGATTTTTGGATTTTACTTTGTAAGTATATAACACAATACACAAAGTATTGTCACATTTCACTCCCACAATAACCCTATGAACCACCAAATATTATTTTTCACAAATGACAAACTGACACACTGTAAGTAGTAAAGCATACGCAGGAATTCAAGGGTCTCATTTCAAAACCATTGTTTTTAATGCTGTACCACACGACTTCCCAAACCCATTCTCTGTTTTTAGGGAATCTACATGATCAAGTAGTAAAGGTAACTCTGAAAGGCTGTATGTAGGAAGGAGAAAATTAAGTGAAATAAGACAAATATTCAATTCAGTAATTACTGACCACTGACATCTGTAAGTGCAACTGTATAAAAAAAAGTGAGACAAACATGTAAAGGAACCCAACACAGTGCCTGGAACAGGTGTCTTTGTTTTTTGTTTTTTCACTTGAAAAATATATTCTTACAGAAACAATTCCTCATTCTCTGGGAAGAACAGTAAGTTTTTGATAAACAGTAGAGTCGTTATTATCGGTGAGATGATTTACACACATGAAATAATACAAATACGCTACTGATTCAAAATATTCACAGAATTCCTGTTATGAACAAACACTGCTAGACACTGCAGAGGTCATAAAGTTAGGCACCCACTCCCGTGCGCTTACTTAGCACTCCGGGTCTAAGAGCTTTACAGGTTACTGACTAGAGCTCTAACAGAAGCTAAAAGTGGGGAAAGGAGTAAAAGTAAAAAATTTGGTTGTAAGGGGGAACCATAAAGACTTCTTGGAGGATGCGGCATTTAAGATCTGCCTTGAGAAATGGATGTAATTGAACGATTTTGACCATCAGACCGGGGTTAACGTGGGCAGAGGGAATTGGGTGCAAGGGCAAGCCCGTAGGTGGGGCGTCGCCCTCTGGGGCGCAGACAACACTAAGGTTTGTAAAGTGGGAGGTGACCATTTTGCTGGGGGTCCAGCTGCAAGGCCAGTGAAGGCACACGGGAGTTGCTGCAGATTTTAAAGCTGGGGCTTGAGGCCAGGCAGCCGTGGGTAGACAGACCCCCAAGCTGCGCGGGAATTTCTGGCGCCCTCGAGCGCTCTACGCTGGGCCCCGGAAACGCCGGTTCCTCCCGGCGTAGGGATGCCGAGGAGGCGCGAGTGAGCACAGCGCCCTAGGCAGCGGGGCTTGGATGGGGCGGGCGCTGTCCGGCCGGGACCCGAGGAGGGCGCGGCCCGGGGTCCTGAGAGAGGCCAGGGAGCCCGCCCTCTCACCTGCGGCTCGCAGCGCTTGGCGCGGTAGGACGCGGGCAAACCAGGTCGCCGCTCCCGCCTCTCTTCGAACACCGAGTCCTCGAAATCGCCGCCGAGGAGCCAGCACCCGGTCTCCATGGCGCGGCCACTGCTCGGGTACCGGCTGGAGGCGGGGCTGAGAGGGCCCACGTGCGAGCCCCGTGGAAGCACGGGTCCGCCGAGGCCCAGAGCGCGGCATGCTGGGACTTGTAGTCTTTGCAGAAGCCAAACCGGAATTTGGCCCGCTGTTGGTTGGGAGCTGTGGTTGAGACGAGGTTTTTAACTGACACTTGAACCGACCGAAACCAAGGGCAGAGCGTTTGTCCTTTCCGTTTCAGATATGCAGCGCGATCCTCACTTGCATGCATCAAAAAGCACTGGCACCACGGTAGCTATTTACAATTCATAGGTACCATTTTTCACCACTGACAATATTCCTGGCACTGTTAAGCGACACCCCGCTCCCCAACCTTTTTTTACGCTTTATATCCACTCCTATCAGCTTTGAAAGGATTGATTCCCATTTTGCAAGAGAAGATATTAGGGCTTACAGAGGTTAAATAACTTGCTCAGGATGTTTTCACACGGCTAGGAGCTGGGAAATACGGAAATCAGTCAAAATTCCCCTTGTCTCCGTTAGGGACATCACCACCAATAACAAGGACCAGAATAATTCTTACATTTATAAAACAAAGTACATATAAATGTAGTCTGGGAGCTCAAATAAGGGCCATTAATTCTAGCTGGGGGAAAACACCAAATCCCAGAATTTGAAGACTAATATTTACTAGAATTCTTATACTTTCAAGATATTCCATGAGATGAGAGTGTGGAAATTGTTGACAAAACACCAGTCTGTACTGCATAGCACAATCTTACTGTACCATATTACATAGCAGGTGACATGGAGGCTTCTCCTAGTTTTCCTTCTGTTTCTCCTCACTCACCAGTTCTTCCACCATTTGCTTCCAGGGTTTTATTCAACCCAATTTTCTATTTCACAAACTCAGCCTGAAGGAACCTAATCCACTCCCTAAGGTTTCAAAATCCATCTCTCTGCCAATGACGCCCCAAATATATAACCAGCCCATATATCCAACAGCCTTGGGTGGAAGGCCTCACTAGAATGGCCTACAGGCATTAGCTACTGAGGAATTCACTTTTTTAAAAAAGAGCAGTTTTTCAGCAGCAGAATCACAGAACCCAAGAATGGACTAACAGGTACCAAAGGGAAAGGGACTGGGGAGGATGGGTGGGTAGGGAGGGATAAGGGGGAGGGAAGAAGAAGGGGGGTATTAAGATTAGCATG